AGCTCTGCTGCATACGTGACCTGCCTACGCGGCGCAAAAAGGTCATCGTCATATTCTGTGCATCCCAGTACTTAAGCAGGTTAGAGGCCTATTTTCCGATCCATTCATCCGTGGCGGACTCCCGCCGAGTCGGTTAAAGCGGCCGCTGTTAGCCCTTGACTGGGATGGCTTACGGCTGGTGGCAGCAGCCGCGCTAAAGGTCAGATGACGTCAAGGCCAGGATGGACCGGGCTCGGTAAACTTTCGCCAGTCCACTCAAATTCTGACCTTGGCCCACCTGGGATTTGACGATCGGATGGCGGGATCAGGCAACATACAACCGTTTCTTAGCGTGGGGCCCGATTTCAGGCATCCATCCGACCAAAGTGTTTCGATTATAGCTTAAAACTGCTCGGTGATAAACTTAAATGATCAATGGTGAAAAACGGCGAATGCTGCAAACTCTGTGCTGGTAAATTCATTAAGCTATAAAACATCCTCATCGCTCTTCGGACGGCGCTTCTGAAAGCGCGGGTGGCCAGTGTGCAAACTGCACTGCTATAACCACCCCACAGTGCTCGCCTTCGTTCGAAAAAAAAACAACCCCGTCTTTTTCGCAACGTCACAACCAGTGATGCCCAATGGCCGACATTAAGTTGTTCCGATGACTTCTAGGGGATGACAACACGCCGTGTGAGTAGTCGCCACGCGGCAGCTGAGCCTGGACAACGGCCAGACCCGCCTGGCCGTTCGCCTGGCCCTCTGTGTCGACAAGCCGGCACATGTGTACCCAGCTGCACTGCTGAAACGGACTGCCCGAACCTGCGCGCCGGCCGGAGCCACCTGCAACGCTGCCCTGTGCCTAACACTGCACGGCTGCATACCCCACATGGTTACCCAGGTGGCCACCCTGTACCGGACGCACCTGTGTCAGCTGTAAGGACTGCCTCCCACCCACGTACAACCCTCGTGGCTGTCTAAAGTTAGTCCCCCGCCATGCGTGAGCACTCTAGACATTACTGTTGTTTTGAACTTCCCAGTTATTAAGCGCAGTTGTTTAGCCTACACTCTGATCACCAGCGGCCAAATGACAAGCGCAAGCTGGACCGAAGTATTCCCAGTGGACGCACCTCGGCAGCCTTGAAGGCAAACGTCATGACACTGCCCCATCCCTCCCCTTGAATCCCCTAAGCGACGTTCCTCTAGCGAACGCACCTCCGCAACCATGAAGGCGAACGTTATGACAATGCCCCTCCCCCAAAAAATAAAAAACCCGGGGTGACGTTCCCCGAGTGTACGCACCTCTGCAGCCATGAAATCGAACGTCACACCGCATCGCCCCCTCGCCCTCCCACACGGCGACGTTCGCCTAGTGTACGCACTTCCGCAGCCATGAAAACAAACGTTATGTCATTGCCCCCTCCCCACCCAAAAATAAAAATAAAACGCTGAGGTGACGTTCCCCTGGTGTACGCACCTCTGCAGCCATGAAGGCGAAGGTCACATCACTGCCTCCCCCGAACCCCATGGTGACATTCCCCTAATATACTTACCTCCGCAGCCATGAAGGCGAACGTTGTGAGGCTCGCCACCAGCCCGACGTACACGCAGATGGCCAGCAGGGCGAGGGAGAGCGCCAGGATGGCCGAGAGCAGGCACAACAGCCGACCGTGGGTGCGACGCGGCGTGCTGGCCGACAGCGACAGCTGAGAAGGGGGGGGGGCGGTCAGGTCGGGTCAGGTCAAACGAGCGAAGGCCGCGAACCATGCCCGCAGCGACAGGTCAGATTTGGCCATACCAGGCAAACAACACCTAGCTGTAGGTCATGTTCGGAGATTGACCAGGTCACGTCCGGTCACGCCAGGTCAGCATGTACGGTGTGGTCAGTGACAGCTGCCAACCACGGCCACAGACAGCCGAAGATTTGTCCGGTCAAATCAGAGGTTAGGTAAGGTCAGGTGATAACAGTCAACTATAGACAGGTCAGAAGAGATCATGTTCAAACAGATATAGCTGAGAACCATGCCAATACAGGCAGGTAAAGTAGGTCAGAGAAGGAACAGCTGGGCAACCATGCCAGGAACATGGACCAGGTCAGAGCAGGGATATCTGCACACCGCACTTGGAGGCAAACCAGATCAAGGGTACCAACGGTGACGACTGGGGAACCGAGCTGTAACCAGGGCAGAGTAGTAACAACAGCAGGAGCACATCAGGAAACACCTCAGGTCAAGTCATCAGGTGAGGTCAGGAGGTCATGAGGCCAGGTTAGGTCAGGTCAGGTCAGGGAGAGTGCAGTTCCCCGTCACGCCCACATCCCGGTTGGTTCCGACCAGTTTACAGCGACAGCATGGCGAACGCTAAACCCAGGGTACAGACCAGGTCAGGTCACAACGACGCACGGCCAGAATCTTCCGTGATCTGACACGTCAGGTCAACAACAGGGACGTAAGCGGATTTCAGCACACGCGGGGAGAGGCACAACGCAAAACGTGTCCACTGAAAACGAGGTTAAAGCGTATCATGCGCGCACACCATTTCTTGCGTGCCCTAAGACGATATGGCCTGTTATCAATTTTATTTTTCACGTCTTTACTCGGAATTTCTAACCGTAAACCTTAAGTCACATACATAACAATACATTCTACAAATTTGGAAAGGTGGGCGAAGCGGGCAAATTTGTACGTATGCCGCTGCGTTACCGGCACCGACAGAGCGGAGCAGGTTCTAAGTACTCCAGCGAAAAGCCACGCAAAAAGACCGTGCCGACGCTTAACACCCGGCTGGCCTCTTTGAGGGATCTGACCTACCAAGCAACGTCAGGTCACACCCGATTAGAAACGGAAAACGTGCAAGGCACAGCTCAAATTACTCCCACCAACCCCAACGAACCCGGGCTGGCTCAGGTGCCGGGCCGCCCGTCGGATAGCTCTGGCACGACCTTAGCCAAAACCAACAGGAAAACAGGCCAATACAGCCTGGCACCTGGTTCAGAGACGGTGCTCGGTCACCGGGGATTAG